ATGTCCAGTAGTGATGGGGGAGGTGCCTGTGTTGAATAGCATGTTTCTTACATTTGGGGGCGGAGCTATCAAGATAGGGGTGTGATTCTTTTGGGAAGGGGCGTTTGTTTTGGTGATTTCAAATATCAACCGCATTTCTCAGAAATCGCTTATACTGCACCTTTAAAAACTTGCCTTTCTCATGCTGTGTCCGACCCTCTCAGCTTTGATCCGAACCCCCTGAGGAGACACACTGTCTGGAGCATCACAGTGGGAGGGACGTTCCTCTGGACCAGTGTCTATGGTATCAATCAAGCTCAGGTGCAAAGATACATATCATGCAAGTCCCTGTTCCATGCTAAAATGTAAGCATTGCACAAATCATAAAACCCAAATTCACGCTAAAAGGAATGCAATATGTATCTGAACTACTTTTGTCTGTGTTTTTGTCTCTATCCAGGGCTTTATACATAAACTTAGTGTGTCTCTGGGCTATATCAATATGCTCAGTGTTTTGTGGCTTGTGTTTATACTCCGTTTATAAGAATTGTGATCCATGGACAGCAAGAAAGGTTTCTGCTCTGGACCAGGTACAAACCACGACAATGCATCTCAAATGCTAAAATTGTGCATGTTACTAAAACTCCTAATGACCTTTATATATTTCTATAATAAATACTATATATTATATATTAAATAAAATTATCAAATCTGGAATATGCTACATTAATGTCTCTCTCTATAATATGCAATAAGCTTATGCCATACCTGGTGTTGGACATCCTGAGCGAATATCCTGGCGTGTCAGGACTGTTTGTGGCAGCAGCATATAGTGGCACATTAAGGTTTGTTCTCTATTAAGACAACTAGTTCAACCTAAAAATAAAATGTATCATTTACTCACCCTAATGTCATTCCAAACCCATATGAATTTCTGTTTTCTGTGGAACACAAAAGGAGATATTTAGCAAAATGTCCAAGCAGCTCTGCCATACAAGCATGACTCCAAAAAGTACAACATTAAACTACAACTCTTGTGCTACATATTCCATGTCTACTAAAATATTGCGAAATATAAAATTGGGTAACACTTTACATTAAAGTTTCATTTGTCGTTAGTCTTTATTAGCATCCATGGAACCTTTATAATGTATTCTTTATAGTTCCCTTTTGGAACCTTTATTTTTAAGTGTAGCATTGAACAATACTTCTACAGCATTTATAAATCTCAGATACATCCAACATCATTCTTTCACTCTCGACCGATAATGACACACCAAGATTAAATGCAAGAGGGAATGACACTGGAACATTACCCGAGC